AATATATATATATATATATATATATATATATACTATAATTACTTCTATGTTATTTTACTATTGAAGCCGTGATAAATAGAAAGAGACTATATACAAGTGTACAACTAAAGTGCACACTTTTTATTTAAGACAAACATATTCAATTTGTGTACATAACTTGTCACAATAGACAGTTATCTTTACTGGATGGTTGTTTCTATAGATTCTTTAGTTCTGTGATCTATATCTGCAACTGCATCTCTCTAGATCGTTTCAATACAAAAAAAACTCTTCGCTATGCTACATGTAATGAATAATACACTTATACATAGAAATTAAATACTTCATCACTAATGACACTAAAATATGCAGATATATATATGAAAGTGTTTTATTAACGTACACGTATACACAAAAACTAAGTACACACCACTCAAAAAGAAATACACACAAATATACACACAAAACTCACAGGTATTATTCAACATGTTTTTTTTAATATAAATCCTTACCAAGATAATAATAATAAGATGTTTCTGAAAGTCACGGCAACTTTAGAAATTTCTGGATGAAAGGTGAATTTCAAGGCTTGATCTCTTGATAACATATCTCTTAAAAACAAGTGTAAGCTAAACTGTGGAACAGCTAGTACATGAATGATTTACTAAATGATATATTAATAAATGATAACGATACAGTAATCGAGATTTACCAAAATGTCTGGCTAATTTATATACCATTTCAAAGTAAATTCCATCATGAAAGTGAGAAAAGTATCTTAAATTGTGGTGATTTGATTGTCTAATAGTAAATCATACTAAACTAGACAATCTGATAACTTGAGCAACAGTCTAACGCACTTCCTCTGGTTGGCTATGAACGTAGCCTGGTGTCGCCAAAACTTTTGTCACCTTTCACCTTAACATCTCTACCTTCCATGACTTATTGTAGCATCAGGTGAGATTGGCATACTTCAAGGTACTTCTTGACGTTATTGAATGGTACCTATCTTTTCATCATGAAGCTTAATAGATATGTGGAGGTTTATGCACATTAGAATAAGAAACACACCATTGGCTAGTTGAAAAACAAGATACAGAAGCGTTTAGAATTTGATCTCTCATAGCACAAGTCAAGACTGAAATCATAGATTCAAGCTAATTTTAAGAGAAGTTTAGCTAGATGTGTAAGTTACAAATGCTGTAACTATTCAGTTAGAAATATCCCTTAGCCTAAAATTACACATCTATTCACTTATACACATATATATTGCTATATCACCATTATATATTGTCACGTACACCAGTACCTTTTAATATACTGCCTCAGCCTATATAGAGTTTAACGTGGCTATCTCAGGTTACCTTCCACAAGTTATGTCTCAACAACTGTGGTGGGTAATTTGCTGTCATTTGCCAGTCATCAAATTCTCAGATTTTTCTTTTCGGCTATTATGAAAAGAGTAATCGCTGGCAGAATTCAGCCAAAGTTCGATATTTCAGCGAGAATTCTCAGATTCAGAATTAACTTTCGAACTGTTATTATGGTACATATACTAATATACACTTAAAGGGAACTCAATTCTCTTATCAAATATGTGGAAGTTGTATATAAAAAAAAATGTGTTCTAAGAAGAATTTAATGAACATTGTATAGTTTGTTAAGCATTCAGGTAGATTAAGCAAGTGATTCTCTCGAAACTTCAGACGATTTTTCACCTCAGTAAAACACTCAGTAGTTTGAAATGTAAGAATTTTAACACTATTTCACCTTAGTTTGTGAACTTTTAACAATTATTAATAGCTCAGAAAGCAAGGAATGTTACTTCCTTTCAGCTGAATTATGAAACTCTAACTTTCATTTTCGGTCATGCAAACTAATAATATTAAGGATCATATATACTGAAGATAGCCATTCTAACGGTGCTTATCAAGTGAAAATCATGCAATGTAGCTAAACATTGCAGAGTGAAAATCACTTGTTAACTCAGAAACCAAGTGGTATGTATCGTATAGCTTTCACATGTCTGATATATTAAGTGAGTGGTTGTCATGTAATGGTAGACATTTCAGCTTGAGAAGATCACACACTAGCTTTAAAACGTAAGGGTCACAAACCACTTTTGACATTGTTTTTGAACACCTAGCTATCATTTTCAGATCTGAAAATTGTCGATACATTAGTCTTTATATCTACTGACACAAGCTGCCTTAATTGGGATAATCAAGTGAAAGTAACGCAAAGTAGCATATATACTGCACTGTGAAAATTACTTAATGGTCAGAAAACAAGGATTACTATACCCCTCAGTCAGCAATATTTCAACTATCTGATCATCTTAGCTGATGATCTGGGTCCAGTTCCAACCATTATATATGGGAGGCTGACGTTGATATATCAACACCACTCAGAGCTGATATATTCACCTCTAGATCTGACATTTCTTCATCAGGCTCATTGTAAATAGCTAGATAAGTGTATTCAACTTCTTCTTCCCCAACCTCTGGGTCTGAAAGTGATAAAACAAAATATTCTCCTCTGACTCTCCAGTCTCTTTCTTTGAACCCTGACCAAACAAGTTCACTAGAGGTTTATCAATAACATACGGACGCAGTTTGTCGACATGCATCATGCGTATTTCTCGACTGCTGCAGCTCATATATTAATGGACTAACTCATTGAATTACAAAAAAAGATCAAATCTAGCTTGAGCTGAGCTGCTCTCATGCCAATGACCCATACCAAAGCCAAACCTAGTACTGATGCTGATACGTCATCTCCTTCACTGTTTTATCATAGCACACTTTCTTTTCTATTGTGTATTCGTGTGCATCAACTAACGTAGGTCTTAATCACTCTATATTCTTGCAAACATTGTGGAAAATCTGCTATAGGGCGTGGTGGTTCATACATTACATTCAGAAGGAGCAGGATTCCTTACCCAAACATTAGTATGTCGTTATCCTGTTCAATTTTTCTGTATACCATTAAGGCATACAATAAATATTCATCCCAGCTGGTTTGCTTAGAATT